GCACACCCCTCACACGCTTCGTGGCCCCATAGGGAGCTCCACCGAAGGCCACATGGCTGCCGTCCGCATGCGTCCCGCACACCCATTTCGGCACACCCCTCACACGTTTCGTGGCCCCACAGGGAGCTCCACCGAAGGCCCCAGTGCTGCCGTCCGCATGCGTCCCGCACACCCATTTCGGCACACCCCTCACACGTTTCGTGGCCCCCTAGGGAGCTCCACCGAAGGCCCCAGGGCTGCCGTCCGCATGCGTCCCGCACACCCATTTCGGCACACCCCTACACACGTTTCGTGCGGCCCCACTGGGCCTCCAGCTCCACCGAAGGCCACATGGCTGCCAGTCCGCACGCGCCGACTAGACACCATTTCGCACACCCCTCACACGTTTTCGTCGCGGACCACAGGTGCAGCATAAACCGAATTTGCCCCCATGGCTGCCTGATCCGCAATGCGTCCCGCAAGCACCATTCGCGCACATTCCTTCACACAGTTTTCGTGGCCCCCTAGGGAGCTCCGACCGAAAACCGTATCGGGCTTTACCAGTGTATGCACGTTCCGAAATGCGTCCCGCACACCCATTTCGGCACACCCCTCACACGTTTCGTGGCCCCATAGGGAGCTCCACCGAAGGCCCCATGGCTGCCGTCCGCATGCGTCCCGCACACCCATTTCGGCACACCCCTCACACGTTTCGTGGCCCCACAGGGAGCTCCACCGAAGGCCCCAGTGCTGCCGTCCGCATGCGTCCCGCACACCCATTTCGGCACACCCCTCACACGTTTCGTGGCCCCACAGGGAGCTCCACCGAAGGCCCCATGGCTGCCGTCCGCATGCGTCCCGCACACCCATTTCGGCACACCCCTCACACGTTTCGTGGCCCCACAGGGAGCTCCACCGAAGGCCCCAGTGCTGCCGTCCGCATGCGTCCCGCACACCCATTTCGGCACACCCCTCACACGTTTCGTGGCCCCATAGGGAGCTCCACCGAAGGCCCCATGGCTGCCGTCCGCATGCGTCCCGCACACCCATTTCGGCACACCCCTCACACGTTTCGTGGCCCCACAGGGAGCTCCACCGAAGGCCCCAGTGCTGCCGTCCGCATGCGTCCCGCACACCCATTTCGGCACACCCCTCACACGTTTCGTGGCCCCACAGGGAGCTCCGCCGAAGGTCCCAGTGGCGCAGTCCGCATGCGTCCCCGCCACTCATTTCGGCACACCCCTCACACGTTTCGTGGCCCCACAGGGAGCGTCACCGAAGGCCCCAGCGCCGCCGCCCGCATGCGTCCCGCACACCCATTTCGGCACACCCCTCACACGTTTCGTGGCCCCACAGGGATCTCCACCGAAGGCCCAAGTGCTGCCGCCCGCATGCGTCACCTAAGCCCAATTCGGCACACACCTCACACGTTTCGTGGCCCCATAGGGAGCTCCACCGAGAAGATATTCACAATTGCAGTATTCACAATTGCATATGGTTGGTCCTTCGCCAGGATAATTTATTTTTCGTCGAAAATCCCCCTGCAGGGGGACAGGCCCCACGTAACGCGACCCCCACTTCCCCTGAGACCCTGGCGCCGCCATCCTGTTCGGGCCGGGCGTTTCCGCCCCTGGGTCGGGCCTCGGGGCCCTCCTGGGGTCGGTCCGGCTCGAGCAGTGGCGCAGGAAGCTGGGCTCCAGGGCTTTGGGCGTGATTTGTTGTGCGATGTTGCAGGGTGTCTCGCTGCGTCTGAGCTCAGGGTCCACTCACTCGTTGTGACAAAAATCACGACGGCGGGTCTGTGGCAGTCTTCGGCCTCCTTCGGCCGGGGGGCCTCGCCTGGCCCCACCGTCTGAGAGCAGCTCAGGACGAGACGCCGGTCTGGGGGGAAGTGGTCTAGATGACAGAGGGTCGCCGTTGCGAGAAAAGCACGACGTGGCATCCCTGAGATCCAGGCGTTGCGACTTTTTGAAACACCTGGAGTTTTCGCCCGGATTTTGGTTCTGGGACCATCACATATTGATCGGGCTAGAAAACATGTTGCAGAAGGATGGTGCTCAGGTTTTTGTTCCCAACCATCCTGTGGTGTTGGGTCCTCGTTTTGAAGAGACGGTGCCCGCGTTCTCCTTCTCTCCTCCTCTTCCCCATCCTCCTCCTCCTCCTCCTCCTCCTCCTCCTCCTCCTCCTCCTCCACCGTCCGCATGCGTCCCGCACACGCAGTGCAGCGTTTCGTGGCCCTCCTCCCCTTCCTCCCTGCGTTTCACCCACCCAGTACAGCGTTTCGTGGCCCCATAGGGAGCGCCACCGAAGGTCCCGGTGTTACCGTCCGCATGCGTCCCGCACACCCAGTGCAGCGTTTGGTGGCCCCATAGGGAGCCCCACCGAAGGTCCCAGTGCTACCGTCCGCATGCGTCCCGCTCACCCAGTACAGCGTTTCGTGGCCCCATTGGGAGCTCCACCGAAGGTCCCAGTGCTACCGTCCGCATGCGTCCCGCACACCCAGTACAGCGTATCGTGGCCCTCCTCCCACTCCTCCTTGCGTTTCACCCAGCCAGTACAGCGTTTCGTGGCCCCCCATAGGGAGCCCCACCGAAGGTCCCAGTGCTACCATCCGCGTGCGTCCCGCACACCCAGTACAGCGTTTCGTGGCCCCATGGGGAGCTCCACCGAAGGCCCCAGTGCCCCCGTCCGCATGCGTCCCAGAAGCCCAATTTGGCATTTTCACTCACCCAGTGCAGCGTTTCGTGGCCCCATGGGGGGCTCCACCCAAGGCCCCAGTGCCACCGTCCGTATGCGTCCGGGAAATGTAATTTGGCATTTTCACCCGCGCAGTGCAGCGCTTCGTGGCCCCAGATAGGGGGCTCCACCGAAGCCCCAGTGGGACCGTCCGCATGCGTCCCGGAAACCCAATTTGGCATTTTCACTCACTCAGTAGAGCGCTTCGTGGCCCCATAGGGAGCTCCACCGAAGCCCTCAGTGGGACCGTCCGCATGCGTCCCGGAAGCCCAATTCGGCACACCACCCACACAGTACAGCGTTCCCCCCCGACCAGTGCAGCGCTTCCTGGCCCCATAGGGAGCTTCACCGAAGCAGATATTCACAATTACGGTACCCACAACTGCATATGGTTGGGACCTTCGCCAGGAGCATTTGGATTTGTCGATGTTTTGCTGTTGTTGTTGTTGTTGTTGAACATTATTACTTCTAAAGAATAATTATTGTTGGGACCCCTGGTACACGACCCCCCTCCAAAACCTAGGCCGCAGCTACATTTTCATCATTTTTTCGCGAAAGCTTCAGAAAAGTGGATTAGTACCGGATCCGGTTGTTTTGTTCCCCCCCGTTTTCCCTTGCAAAAAACACTATAAAATGAAATTTCTTGTTCAAATGTAATCCAATTTCAAGAATCCCTTGCAAAAAATAAGCTAAAGTGGACATTCGCGCGTGCAAGACGAAATCCTTCCAAAACCTTAGGTTTCGGAACGATTTCAACATAAAAACATCAAAAACCCAATGGTTTTTTAAATAAAAAATTGTCAAAATCTCATCCCGCGCGCTCTTGCGGATTCGTAGGAAAACCATCACTTTTTAAACAATTTCTGTCAAACGGGCTTTTGCGAGCAACTTTTTCAAACTTCTGCGACAACGGTTGCGCACCTGCCAGGGCCATCATCCCTGTCAAATAATACCATGCGGGACACATTCGTTTTTTCTTCGCGCGCGCACGCCGAAATCTACAAAAACCATTGGGTTTTTAAGAATTTTACCACCGCGCATCATAAAATCACACGAATCGCACCGTAGGTCCTCGAAAAACAGCTGCACGACTTTTCAAAATTTCCACCCGCGCGCGCTGTCCGAATCCTAAAAAAACCAATGGTTTTCCAACATTTATGTTACATGAGCTCGCGCGAGCTACTTTCGCACGCTCTTGCAACGGGGTTCGCGCGCCTGCCAGGGGCCAGAATCCCTTGCGGTTGCGCCATAGGTTGCGCCCTCGGCCGCCGAGAATAAAACGCCCTCCTATTGGTTGCGCCATAGGTTGCGCCCTCGGCCGCCGAGAATAAAACGCTCCCTACTGGTTGCGCCATACGTTGCCCCAGGAGGCCTTCAAGAGGCCTCAAGAGCCCGCCGTGAGGACCCAATAAGCTCCCAAGAGGCCCCAAGATGCTTCCAAGAAGCCCCCCAAAGCTTAAGAGGACCCCAAGCGGCTTCAGGAGGCTTCCCCCCTACCCCAAGAGGACCCCAAGCGGCCCCAGGAAGCCTCCGACTGATCACTGTCACATCCGTAGCCATCTCGGATCAAGGTATCGCCTGTGTTCTTGGCTGGGTCATGGCTTTGTCGGCGAAAGCCCTTGACGACCAGTATGGCCCAGAGCTGTCGCGGCCTCCCTTGGCTGACTGCGGCAGCCCGTATTATTTGCATCAGGCGCTCGTTGCAAAGGGTATCCA